CACTACGGGATGGGACAGTGGCTGCCAGGATCCTGCTGACTGTCCCATCCTACTTCTCCTTCCCTAGGGGCAGCCATCACCTTTGCCAGGACCTACCTGCTGAGCCCCGGTGCAGGGCGCCGTCCCAGTGTGCCAGCAGTGCTGGTGGTCCTGGCTGACGGCCCCTCCGGGGATGATGCCATCGCTGCAGCCAGGGATGTCAAGGCTGGGGGTGAGGATAGATGGGGTCCCAGCAGGGTGTGCAGGGAAGTCTGTAGGGTACTGAGGGTGCTCTTGGCTCAGGGGTCCAGGTGCTGGCAGTGGGCTTGGAGGGGGCAGACCGGGAGCAGCTCCGTCGCATGGTCACCAGTGAGGACCCGCGGTACATGTACCACAGCAGTGGCCTGGCAGAGCTGGAGGGAGAGCTCACCGATGACCTCTGCACCATCATCTCTACCAGGGTAAGGAGACAGGGTGCTCCAAAGGGTGTGGAGGGGGACCAGTCCCATGTAAGCTGGGGAGTTCTCCTACCCTTGGTTACACATGGGCTTGTCTTGTCTTGGCAGCCAAAGCAGGAGGCACCAAAGCCGAAGCCCTGCACTGTGCAGTGCCCCAAGGTGAGCATCTCCATGCTGTGCTATACCATGCCATGCTGTGCTGTGCCACGGGGGCTTGGCATGGGTGAGGGACCCCCAGCGGCCGAGGACAGCAGCCCAGCAGGGAGTTGAGCACAGGCGTGCCAGCCCCTAACCCCTTCCCTCTGACCTTCTTGCAGGGCGAGAAGGGAGACCGCGGTGAGACAGTGAGTGCTTTAGTGTTGCCCAACCCAGCTGGGGGGTCTGCATCCCCCAAACCATGCTGATGCCAGTCCACAGGGGATTCTCACTGCTGGCTTTGTCTCTGCAGGGACTACAAGGGCGTGTGGGACCACCAGGCCCCCCTGGTCAGCCGGTAATATCCTGATGGAGGGGGGTAGACAGGGGGCAGCTCTTTGGTGGAGGCAGTGACATGGTCCCCATGTCCTTGTGTTCCCTTGTCCCTTTGTCCTGCTGGCAGGTGGCTGTGGGGCAAGGACCTGTCCAGGCCTTGCTGCAGGGACAGACAGAGAACACCTCTTCACCACCACCTGCCAACCAGCCTGTCCGCTCTGCTGTGCCTCCAGGGTCGCCATGGATTACCTGGCCCTTCAGGACCCCCAGGGCCACAGGGTCTGCCAGGAGAGAGTGTTGAGCGTCCCGGCAAGAAGGGGGACAGGGTGAGTTCCTCTGACCCCCTCACCCAAGCACCCCAGGGTCCCTGGGTACAGTGACCTGGCCCCACAAGGCCTCTCTCTGCCCCTCGTCCCTCTGTTCTCCTCCACACCCAGGCTGGAGGGGAGATCCCCTTGAAGAGCCCTAGTCCAGCCCCATGCTGCTCCCTCACACTCCTGCTCAGCACACAGGGGAAAGGCACCCCAGAACCCAGCTCTGCCATGGGGCTGCCCGGGGCTCCTAGTGCCAGGACCAGCACTGCACAGGGCACTGAGGGATTCTGGCAGTGCTGGGACACACAAGATGCTGGCATGCTGCTCCTCTGTCCTGCAGGGATTCCCTGGAGCCAATGGGACACCAGGAAGCCCTGGACGCCCTGGGAATCCTGGATCTCCTGGGCAGCCGGTGCGTGGGGATGTCCCTTGGGTTTGCTGCTGCATGGTGGGCTCTTCCCATCACCCTGCCCTTTGTTGGCATGGACATTCACTTCCTGAGCTATTGTTTTCCAGGGCATTCAGGGCATCCCTGGTCCCCGAGGAGATCCTGTGAGTATGGCCCCAGCCCTCCTCAACCCCACTCACACCCAACACCTCCTCTCACTCTCTCATCTTTCCTTCCCAGGGGACACGGGGGCCAATGGGACTTCCTGGCCCAAAGGGGGAGAAAGGTGAACCGGTAGGTGATGTGCAGGAGGCTGCCCCACAGGGGTCTCTGGGCAGCAGCTGGGATGCGTGAGGGCACATCTTGGCCCCTGGCATCTCCTGGTACTTGGTGTCTGAGTGACCCAAGGTCTTCCTGTCTCCCTGCCAGACTTCTGGCCTTGTGACACTGTGGCCCCTGTCCTGCACTGGGGACACAACAGGGCACATTTTTTCCTCCCCCTTCTCATTCAGGGAGAGCCCAGGGTGATCGTGGATGGAGAACTTGGGCTGCCAGGCCGGAAAGGGGAGCCAGGTGTGCCGGTAGGTATGGGGGTATGGATGTGAAGGAGTCTCTGCCAGCACCTCCAGCCCATGCCACAGCTAACAGACCATCTCTCCTCCAGGGCAGCCCTGGCACCCCTGGGAGCCCTGGCCCACGGGGACCCGTTGGTGATCCAGGTCCAGCTGGTCCACTTGGACCCATGGGGCCACCAGGACCTCCAGGAGAGTTTGTGAAGGTACATCCCCCTGGTGCTCCGTGGGGACAGCTGGGGGGATGCATGGGCAGATGGATGAAGAATCAGCAGCTTGGAGCTGATCCCCTTGGTACTCCTCCTGATCCTGCTCATGGATTGTGTTCCCCATCAGCTATACCTGCACACACATACACATGCCTGAGCTGTTGCTGGCACTGGGCAATGTGGGGAGAGGCACGTGGCATGCACATGCCCTGATACCACTGATGATGGGCTCTGTACAGCATGTTCCCCTTCTGTTCAAGGAGGGCCTGGGAAGAACCCAGACCTGCCCTTATTTGCTTTTCCTACTCTCACAGGGAGAGAAAGGTGACCGAGGGGAAAGGGTGAGTGACTCTGCATTTCCCTGACTCCTCTGCCTTCCTGAATGGAGGAGCCTTGGGTGTCCAAGGGCACTGCAGCCCCTCAGAGTGCTGGGAAGGATTGAGCCCCCGGGGTGACCACACAGGAGCTGACCCCTGTCTCTGCAGGGCCCCCCCGGACTCGTGGATGGGGCAGCACCTCGAGGGGAGCCTGGCCCACCGGTGAGTTTGGCCCCTAGGTCAGCAGGGATGTCAGAGCAGGACTGCAGCAGCCATGTGTCCCCAGGGCTGAGCTGTTCTCTCTTGCAGGGCCTGCCTGGGGACCCTGGGCCCCGAGGACCTGCCGGGCCCCCTGGCCTGAAGGGAGAGAAGGTAAGAGGGTGGTGGGGATGCTCCCTGCTGGGGCTGAACCCATCACCACTCTCCAGAGGGGGTTCCCATCCCTGTGTTGTGGACATCCCCATGTCATGGGCATGGCTGTCATCTTTCCTAATCCCCAGGGTGATGGCACAGAAGGTTTCCCAGGGCCACCCGGCCGCCCCGGGAACCCAGGAGACCGGGTGAGTTTTCTGAGAGAAGATAAGGTGGGCAGGAGCTGGCCAAGCCAGCAAGCTGAGCCCGGAGAGCACACTGGAGGGCTCCTGCTCTGGACAGCCTGGACATTTGGCCTGCCATGCCAAAGGTGACAATGTCTCCATCCTCCTTTGCAGGGCCCTCGGGGACCTCCGGGGGAGCAGGGCAGGAAGGTGAGTGGTGCAGAAAGGGATGCTCTTGCCTTGCTTTTAGCAGGGAGAAAAGGCTTCTGGGCTCTGTGCCAGGACCTATGTTGTCCCCCATGGGTCCTGCTGCCCCTGACCCTGTCTTTCTCCTGTGCCAGGGAGAACGTGGTGCACCAGGAGAGCTGGGAGAGATGGGTGAGAAGGTGAGATGGCACCAAAGGGGGGCTGTGCAGCAGCATTGACAGGTCCTGGTGTCCCTGCAGACCTGTGGTGGCTGTGCGTGGGGTGCGGGCAGTGTGGCATGGAGGGAGGAAGGCTCCCTGAAACCCTCTGCTTCACTCTGCAGGGAGACCGTGGTGTGCCGGGCCCTGAGGGTGAGAAGGTAGGTGGACTGGGGTGGCTGTGGCCATGCTGGAGTGATGCTTACCCTGACATGGGGTGGCAGGATGCCCCTGACACCTTCCTCTTCCTTCTCTCCTCCAGGGTGAGACAGGAGCCCCAGGGCGCCCAGGGCCATCGGGCAGAGAGGTGAGTCAGGGCAGTGGCCATGGTGCTGTGGAGCAGGGGGCTGCCAGGCCCTGAGTGCATGTCACTGGGCATCACCAGCTCCTTGAGATCTCTTCTCTTTCCACAGGGATTTCCAGGACCAGCCG